GTCAGGCTGGTCTTGAACTCCTGACCTGGTTGTGATCCATCTGCCTCAGCCTCCCAAAGTGATCTCTCAGTTTTTCCTTGCTTATGCTTTGATATGGTTTGCAGATGTGTCTCCGCCCAAATCTCATGTCTAATTGTAATATCAGATTTGGAGGTGGGGCCTGGTGGGAGGTGATTGGATGGCGGGGGGTGGTTTCTTATGGTTAATGTAAGAAAGTGAGTTCTGTCATTGCAAAAGTGAGTTCTCATGAGATCTTTTTTAAACAAAAGTTTGTGGTGCCTCCCCACTCTCTCCCTCTTGCTCCTGCTCTGGTGATGTAAAATGTACCTGCTGCCCCTTTACCTTCTGCCATGATTGTAAATTTCCTGAGGCCTTCCCAGAAGCCTATCAGAGGCCAGCATCATGCTTTCTGTACAGCTTGCAGAACCATGAGCCAGTTAAATCTCTTTTCTTTATAAATTACCCACTCTCAGGTATTTCTTTATAGCAGTGGGAGAATGGACTGATACATGCCTCCATGAAAAACAGAACTGAAAATAAAGTCTCTCTTGTACACGCACGGGGTATACTTTTATTTGTGGAGGGTTTCAAAGCAAACCTTTTGCATGGACACCCTTATGTCTTGATAGATGTAGGAAAAAGGGCCAGTGTGGATGAAAAATTTGAATGGTATCTTTGTTGCTTTATAATCAGTCAGAAGCAGAACACTGGTCCACTCCTCCTCTTAAGCTATATCATAGGTTAGAGAAAACATTGCCAAGAGGCCTTCACTCTTCTGGATAGGCGTCATTGATTAGGTCTCTTTTTCCATGGTTTAGAGTAAATTAGGCAATGATTAAAAGTTTATTCCTTATAATAGGCTAGATAACAGATTCTACTACAGAGACTCTGGTTACACAACAGATTTTAAATTCTCTTGCTAAAGTTGCGCTAAATAATAGAATTGCTCTAGTTTACTTTCTGGCTAAACAAAGCAGTGTCTGTGCAGTTGCTGACACTTCTAGTCACACATGGAGGAATATGTAGGGTATGATAGAGACTCAGTTGTAGGAGATTAATAGACAGGCTACTTAGTTGAAATGAGCAAACTCTTTATCTAGTTTATTGTTTGATCTATTTGATTTGAGTTGGTTTGGTTCATGGGGAACCTGGATACAGAGCATACCCCAGACTCCTGGCATGATCCTCCTGATAGTTATCATTGTAATTTCCCTGCTGTGCTAGATTCTCTCAAAAGTTCTAACTGTTTGCGTGCAGCCATCTCCACAATGTCAAATGGTCTCTCCTTGATTGGAATGACAATAATGCAAAGAAATGTGTGGCTTTACTGAGACTGAAAACCCAAAATGATGGTAACCGAGAGCAGAGCTCATGCCCTAAGTTTTGGTCACACTCTCACATAAGTGAAAACCTGACCAGAAACCAGAAAGGGGAATTCTTTTTTTTTTTTTTTTTTTGAGACAGAGTCTTGCTCTATTGCCCAGGCTGGAGTGCAGTGGTGCGATCTTGGCTCACTGAAACCTCCGCCTTCCGGTTCAAATGATTCTCCTGCCTCAGCCTCCTGAGTAGCTGGGATTACAGATGTGCACCACCACGCCCAGCTAATTTTTGAATTTTTAGTAGAGATGGGGTTTCACCATGTTGATCAGGTTGTTCTTGAACTCCTGACCTAGTGATCTGCCCACATTGGCCTCCCAAAGTGCTAAAATTACAGGTGTGAGTCACGGCACCCAGCCTCAGAAGGGGGAATTTTTTTTTTTTTTTTTTAAGAGATGATGTTTCTCCATGTTGGTCAGGCTGGTCTCAAACTCCTGACCTCAGGTGATTCTCCCGCCTCGGCCTTCCAAAGTGCTGGGATTACAGGCGTGAGCCACCATGCCCGGCCAGAAGGGGGTAATTTTTAAACAAAATTCTGGGAGGCAATTGTTTTGGACCGAGCTTGTGCATTAGGCCCCAACAGACCAGATCACACCAAAACAGAGTCACACATATTAAATGTGACATAATCGATCTGAAACTTTAAGGGAACAGATTCTAAAACAGACCAAGCTTTGCTTTTCTCTTAAAAACAGGAGATCGCAGTACAAAGAGGTCCCCACTACTGCAATCCCTAAAAAAAAAAAAAAACCCTGAAGTCCCTGTTTCCACCTCACAAAACTCACCGTTCTATTTCCCAACGGGATTTGAGACTGAATAGGTACCTTTATCATGGCGACAGTGACATCAATGCTTAAAGTTTTTTGGTCTATCTCTCAACATTAAGAAGATGACCAAAAGGGGGGAATTATCAAATTAAGTTTAGCTTAAAGCTGCTTCCTTACATGTTCTAAGTTCTGTCTAAAGGTTTCTCCTACACTGTAAACTGCAACCTGACTGGATGTGTAAACAGACTGTAACCTACTCTTGTGCAAATCACTGAGTTTCAGCCAGTCAAGGGCAGCTAACTGTTCAAAGCATATTTAAATAAGACAAATGCCAATTGTAACCAATCTGGCGGTTTCTGTACCTCACTTACATTTTCTGCAGGTCATTTTCTTTTTTCTGTCTGTAAACACCAAGTGGCTGTGCTAAGGTGTCTCTGAGCCTACTGTGGCTTAGGCAGATACTTGATTCACACATTGGTTTTTGCTCCAATAAACTCTGTTAAATTTAATTTGCCTACAGTTTTCTTTTAAAAGCCCCAGAGTCAAATGCCTCTGCTGTTGGCACACCAGCAAAATGGAAGCCTCATGCAGCCCTCGTGTTTATACAGTACTCATTTGTGAATTAGCAGTTACATGAGTGCTTCTGATTGGTGGAGGGTAGGTCACATGAATTCATTCCTACATAAGTGCTTCTGATTGGTGGAGGGTAGGTCATGTGAATCGACACCTACGCCAGTGCTTCTGATTGGTGGAGCATAGGTCACATGAATTGATTCCTACATGAGTGCTTCTGACTGGTAGAGAGTAGGTCACGTGAAACTGTGCCTATATGAGTGCTTCTGATTGGTGGAAGATAGGTCACATGCCTGTGTCTTAGCTGCAGGGGATACCAGGAGTTTGAGTTCTTGACTTCTATTTTGGGAGGCAGGACAATAATAGGAAAGCTGACCTTAAGATGATGAGCTGCCACCATGGATGTGACAGGTGTCCACTACACTGACTCACCCTAAATGTCACACCATAGGAAGTGAAGTTAAATGTCCAAACACATTTACTTTTTAAAATCCTGCTGCTTTCTTAATATATGATTTAGAGCAAAGGGTTTTTATTACATAGTTTTTGAAGGTATAATTTTACATGTAGTAAAAATTGCCCATTCTAGTATACAGGTCTAGGATTTTAAAAAAATAAATTCATACAGTTATGTACTACCACAGACAAGATATGGTATATAACAGTTTCATCATACACCACCGTTCCCTCATATCCCTTTGTAGTCAACCCCTTCCTCTACCCTCAGCTCCTCACAACCACTGAACTAATTTCTGTCTGTAGTTTTTGGAACAAAGACTTTTTAAGCAAAGAACAAAAATGGAGCAGATGAGATTCTATGTGTAAATATCAATGTATGCGTGTTGGAATCTCTCCCTCCTTGGCCCGTGTCCCAGGAGGTGAAGAAAGAGAAAGATTATTGAAAATAAATTGAAATGATCCAAAGTATAATTTCCTTTCAAATCAGGTTTAGGGCTTATCTCTTGGTTTAGAGCTTAACTCAGGAAGAGCTAAGCCCTAAACGATTAATCCTTCAGGAAGAAGGATGAGGTCACTATTGCAGCTCCAGCTCACTGCGTCAATTCCTGCTTAGAGTGACAGGTAAATAGCACCTGAGCAAATGCAGCCTGCCCTCAGGTTCAGGTGGAGGAAGCCACACCTTAGAGGTCCTTCTTCAGTCTTCTTCAGACTGTACTCTTGTCTGTCAGGTGAAGGACGGGTCCGTGTTCCTGCTTCTATGTCACACTTCAGGTCTCAGGACCCAGTATTCCCTGCCCGGAGTTCTCAGCCACTTTCAGGCTTACATAGGCCTCTCCACAGGGAAAATCCTCCCCAGGGTAGACTGCATAGCTTGGTGTGCACCCCTAGACTCTGTTGATGACTACATACTGGCTGTTTACGGTGGCTGTAGATGATGCTATGTATGCAGGCTGGGGGGAGTAAGAAAGGCGAGCTGAGGGGAGAATCTAAGAGTTCTCGAAGGAGTCTGAGATTCTAAATTTAAACATGACCCTGTAGGTCATTATGAAAATACATAGTTTCATTATGAAATGGAGCCTATTTTATAAGCCTGTTAGTTTTATTTATAACTTAACTATCTGGGCATGCAGTATGTAGGCCGCTATTTGTACTCTCACCTGGGCCCTGAAAATATTTGAGACAGGTCTAAATGAATCTAAGTGTGCTCTCTGCAGGCCAGGCTCCCTAGTGGCAGCCCTGAACCCCTTTCCTGAGGATGTAGGAGAGGAAGAGAAGGAGATATTTCTTGGATGTCTACTATGTGCTGGAATCTGACCTGGTCCCTTTCCCTCGCATCATCTCATTTGGGTCTCCCAATTACCCTGCCAGATGGGTACGTCATTGCCAGTTATAGATGAGGAAGTGGAGGCTTAGCAACATTTAAGTGCCTTAAGTGTCCAAACTGGGCAGCGGAGATCTGTGTGGCTTCAAGTCTGGCACTCTTCCATGTTGCTGTTAGAGCTATGTCCACCTTGGCTGTCCTCCCCTACCGGATTCCCAGAGAGCAAGAAGTCAATGTATATATACATATGTTTTATTTTATTTTATTTTATTTTATTTTATTTTGAGGCACTCTGTCACCCAGCCTGGAGTGCAGTGGGGCGATCTCGGCTCACTGGAACCTCTGTCTCCTGGGTTCAAGTGATTCTCCTGCCTCAGCTTCCCGAGTAGCTGGGACTACAGGTGCATGCCATCACATCTGGCTGTCTTTTGTATTTTTAGAGAGAAGGTTTCACCGTGTTGGCCAGGATGGTCTCAAATTTCCTGACCTTGTGATCCGCTGGCCTTGGCCTCCCAAAGTGCTGGGATTATAGGCGTGAGCCACTGGGCACGGGCAAGAAGTCAGTTACTTAAATGGGTTGAAATGAGGCATGTACTATGCTTTGGGGAAAAATGAAACAAAACCAAATCAGAAATTTCCAGAACCTTCTCTGGTTGGCCCTATTTTTGTTCCAGAGTAGAAAAGGGCGAAGTACAGGAGGTGGCTGGGGCAGAGAGAGTACAAACACTTGGGTACGGAAGGCACGTGAGAATTCACTGTGGGAGCAAGAGAGGGGGCGGGCGCGGACGTGGGTGGAGTGAGGGCTGAGACCAAAGAACTCTGGCTTTTGAGTCAGTCCGGGTTTTAAATCCAGGTCCCACCACTTAGAATTGTTTGACTTAAACCAAGTTGCTTAACGACACAGAATCTCGGTTTCACTATCTTCAAAAGATAATTGATAATAGGGTTTCTTCTAAGAGTCTCTGCAAGGAGGAAATGAAATCGCATCAGAAAGGCCCCAGCACACAGCAGCTTCTCAACAACATTCATTCCCTTCCACCCTCTCCTTCCTCCTATTGACTGAGTTGCTCCCCATTTAGGCATTCTATAGATCTCTACAGCTGAGAAATCCAAAAATAAACTTGAATTATGGTGGGTTTAGCACCGAGGTATTTCTGTGTAAATAGCAGAAGTGAAAAGAAAAAAAAGGCCATTCCATTTCTAGTATTTGAAACCAAGAACCCTCATCGTGTGGGCGACTCATAGTAGAGGGGGTGGGGGGAGCGTGGTTTGGTAGTTTTTCTCTGCTGTTTTTGTTTTTGTTCTGCGATGATGTGGGGGACTCTCCAGGGACATCATGCGTCACAGAGCAGGGGAGAAAGGGGAGGTGAAGGCAGAGCAAGTAGGGAAGTTTGATCCGGTCTCTGACGTTGTAGGGCAGAACTGGGGAAACAGGGAGTGTCGGTCAATCGGTGGAAAAGGTCCCGTGACTGTCATGCCCATCTTACCTCCTGCCCTGAGACACAGTTGGGAAGTCCCTTAATTCATTTCTTCAGTGAGTTTCCCAAGAAAGGCCATCTTTGGGAACGTATTATTTCTAAAATACATGGCAGACTCGGCTGACATGGTGTGTTTGTGAGTCAGAGACTCACAAAAAGGGAAGGCCAGGGGCTGGCCCGCTGGATGTGCGCCCACGTGGATGGGAGACACTGGTGGTTATTATTATTAACAAAAGTCTTCCCTTACCTCCCCAAACCTAACTTTTCACTATTCATATCATCCCGGTCGTATAGGCCCAGGGAGATGAAGAAGGAATTCCCTTGGGTGAATCACAAGGGCCTAAGTAGAAGAGCCAGGATTTAAACTGGCTCCCACGTCTCTATACAGGGCTGGCCTTAGTCATTCTAATAATGGGGGGCAAGTTGGGCTCAGGACCGGTGGCCTGGGGAATCCAGGTCATCTTGATGTTTGCCCTATGGTCTTGAGTTTTGCAACTTAAAAAAAAAATATATATATATGTGCATGTGTATATAAATATATATATGTATTATATGTGTGTGTATATAAACATATATATGTATTATATATGTGTGTGTATATATATATATATTACGTATATAATATTATCTATTTTTTAAAGACAGGGTCTTGCTTTGTCACCTAGGCTGGAGTGCAATGGCATCAACCTTCCATGTTCAATTGATCCTCCCACCTCGGCCTGCCAAGTGGCTGGACCTACAGGTACATGCCACCACACCCGGCTGATTTTTTAAATTTTTTGTAGAGGCAGGGTCTCGTTATATTGCCCAGGCTGGTAAATGGACATACTGACATTACAAGTCAATGTTGTTTTTACGAAAGGAGCAAATAATCCAAAAGGGACCGACCCATCAATGAAAACATGTCATACCACACTTAGCGTTTGCCTTGGTCTAGAAGTCTTTGGAGGTGAATTTATGGAGAATGCATCCATGCTGCCTCCCATTCTCACTACACATAACTAGAGGAAGGGGTTGAAGCTGCACTAGGAGGCTGTTGGAGAGACTAGACTCAAGGAGAAGCTTCCTGACTGTAGAGGGTTGATAAATATAGGAGCCAAAGGAGGGTGGAAGTGATAACTTTCCAATCCCTCGCGCCTCCAGCATTTTTTGGTGTTTGCCGAATACCATCACTCCTACCTCTCACCAGCGCCTGGACTCACCTTTCTAGAGCCAGCACGAACATCACCCCCTCAGACTTCCTAGCATTGCTGTGAAGAATTGTGGGCTTTTCTTTCCTGCTCCCACTGTGATTTTGGTACCTTTATTTAGCATCTATATTGTTCTCCCTTGACTTACAGCCAAGTTGTTCATTGTCTCCTTTCTCGAGTTCTTAGAGGACAGGGATGCATTCCATTCGTCTTTATCACCAACACCCAAGGTGACACCTGGCACCTCGTCAGAGCTCAGTAAAGGTGTGCTGAACTTGGAAACAGCGGGTTACCTGTTGGTGGATAAAAAAACATTTTTTTTCAAACCTTGTTAAGTTTGAAAACTTCAATCCCCAGTGCCAACATGCATAAATTTAGGTACTTTCATGCTTTGTTGATGGGAATATGAACTGGTTCCACTTTTCTGGAGAGGCCTTTGGTAAACATTCAGGAGAAGTCTTAGAATTTTCGATGCCCTTTGACCTAATTTTTTTTTCTTTTTTCCTAAGGAGTTAGTAAATGGCTTTTCATAAAGACATTGTTATTATTTTTTCATAACAATGTTTTAAAAAATTATAGCAAAAATAGAGCCAATATTAATATGAATTTGAATAAATAGTGGTTTATATATGATAGAATATCATGTAGCCATTACGATTGATGATATATTTGTTCATCAAATAAGCAAAGTGACAAAAACAATTACAAAATAGGAAGCAGAGTAGGATTTTAATTTCAAAGGAAAATAAGGCTCTATCCATGGAAAAATGCCTGGAAGGATCTACGTCTAAGTGTTTTAACGCTTTGTCTCTAGGTGGTGGGATTTTAGGGTATTTTGACTTTCCTCTGTTCATTTCTCTGAATATTCTTAATTTTCTCCCATGGGTTATGACAAACATGTATTACATTTAGAACATGAAAAACATTTTCTGGCATCTTGAGTTGATTCTGTACATAAATTCCTTGCTCCTTAAATTCTGAAACTGTGGGAACATGTAGGATGTCAGAGTTGGAACAGCTGTGGGAAATCCTTTGCGCCAGAAGTTTGAAAACTTGGCTGTGCATGAGAATCACCTGTGGGGCTTTCAGAACTCTGGTTCTGCCTACACCCAGTGGCAATAAATCAAAGTCAGCAGGGATGGCTGCAGGCGTCAGAGTGGCTTAAACTTCCCAGGTGATTCTAATATGCAGCCCAGTTTGAGAACCCTGCTTTCGAGCTGTGCTGTCTAACGGTAGCCGCTAGCCACACATGGTTATTTAAATTATGCAACACTAAATAAAAAATTCAGTTCCTTAGTCAAAGTAGCCACTTTTTTGTTGTTGTTGTTTTAGACAGAGTCTTGCTCTGTCACCCAGGCTGGAGTACAATGGCGCCATCTCACTGCAACCTCCATCTCATGGGTTCAAGCAATTCTCCTATCTCAGCCTCCCAAGTAGCTAGGACTACAGGCGCCCGCCACCATGCCCACAAAGTAGCCACATTTTAAGCACTCAGTAGTCACATGTGCGGTTAGTGGCTACTATATCGGGCAGCGCAAGTCAGGATCTACCTCTCACTTTTCAGGATAGGGCTGGGCACGGTGGCTCATGCCTATGATCCCATCACTTTGGGAGGCTGAGGCAGGAGGGTTGCTTGAGCACAGGTGTTTGAGACCAGCCTGAGCAAGATAACGAGACCCCCCCATCTCTACAAAACAAATAAATTAGCCAGGCATGGGGCACCTGTAGTCCCAGCTACTTGGAGGCTAGGGTGGGAGGATTGCTTGAGCTGTGGAGGCCAAAGCTGTAATGAACCGCAATTATGCCACTTGCAATTGAGTGAGCCTTGGCAACTGAGTGAGATTCTATTTTTAAAAAAAATTTGTTTTTTTTTGTTCAGGAAAGGCTCCTGCAGGTGGGTGCCCTCCTTCTAGCAGGCTTGAGGCTCCGGGAAGGGGCAGACCTCTGTTCTTGCCTGTTTTCCAGCGGTGGAACAGGCCTCACTGGGACATCAGTAGGGTAATCTTGTGCCTAGAAAGTCCTCTCTGCTTTCTGGTGTCTACACTACCCTCCTCCCTGAGCACGGTGAAGCTCTGTGCCGCACGTTTCTGTTCAAGGGCTCGGCAGGCCCAGGCCCTCCCTGTCTGTTGAGCCCGGTCCAGGCCACCAGGCTCAGCTGTTTACAAGGGATCCAAGCGCTCGGTGGAGGGCAGAGCAGGCCGAGAGTGTTTTCCACGGCTGCCGAGAAAAACCAGCTCGTGGAGGCAGAATAACAAAAAGCCACTTCAAAAACACACCAGAAAGAGTCACAAAGCAGAGACAATCAGAGGTTTGAGACACCCCCTCCTCCCCAAAACCCTGACAAGAGAGCGAAAACAAGTCAGGAGGGAGCCTCTGATGGTTTCAAGATAGTCGCGGTTGCTGACTTGAGAACGGGCCTGTCCCAGCAGTTCCGATCGGAGTCGGGAGCTGAGGCTGTGGGGGCTCTGAAACCTCCCCTGAGTTCTGAGAACTGTGGGGGGACAGCCCCCGAGGGCTCGGCGTCTCTGGGAAGACGGCAGGGGCGGTGGGCGGGAATGGCAGGGCCAGGCTGGCTGGCTGAGGGTGCCAGGCTGTTCCAGCCGAGACTGGCGCCGGTTAGGAAGCAGACTCTCCGCTGGCCCCAGGCTTCTGGTACTTACCGCCCGAGAGGGCGAGGCCCCTACGGCCATAGTCCATCTGGGAATTCAGAGGCGTAAGGTCACGTGCATTTAGGAAGCTGGTCCTTCAGGATCTGAGCTAAGGACCCAACCAGGAAGAAGCCGAGGCAGAAAGGAAGCACTGACACTCTGCTGCACCCCGCCCCGTTTTGCAGTGAAGTCCAGTGAAGAGAGCCCTGGCGGTGGAGCTCTGGGGCTCAGATCCCTGGCACTGTCACTCCCTGCCTGTGTGACCTTGGGCAGGTCAGTTTAGCCCTTTGGACTTTAGTTTCTTGACCTGCAAATTACAGGGTTGGTCTAGATCAGGGGTCCCCAAACTTTTTATACAGGGGGCCAGTTCACTGTCCCTCACACCGTCGGAGGGCTGGACTATGCAAGATGTGACACCCTTCACAGCCAGCGCTGCTGCCTCCACTGTCCCAGACAGCAGTGTACAGTGTCACAGGCCCAGCACCGCCTCCAGTGCTGTATACAGGGATGGTGGTGATCAGCCTGTGACAGTGTGTATACAGCGTCCTGGACATCTGCAGCAGCGGTGGGCCTCTTCTGTGGGAAGCCCACTGCTGCGTGTTTCCCCTATTATATGACACCTCCTAAAAATAAGACAGCCCCCGTCTTTTGGGGGTAAAATTAATATAAGACAGGGTTTTATAATAGGGGAAACACGGTGTATAGTAATGTAGGGGGAGACTTTTGGGCAAAGGGAGGTTATAGGGGCCATTATGTTGTTGTACATTTGGGGGGGTATGGGGGCCATTGTACTGTGTAGTAATGGTTATAGTGCTTTGCCTTTCTTCCTACTTCTGCTGTTATTTCACACTGCTTCCGGTGATGTGGGGCGCCGCAGCCGCAGACTGGATGTGCGTCATGTGACGCACTTCTGAAGCCGTGACGCGTGCCTCCCGCGTCACCGGAAGTAGTACTGTACGTGAGCGACACTGTGCTTTGCGGCACCGCCACATACAGATGCACCCACATCCTGTGCTCCTCTCACTGACCACCAATGAAAGAGGTGCCCCTTCCTGAAGTGCGGCGGGGGGCCGGATAAATGGCCTCAGAGGGCCGCATGTGGCCCGTGGGCCGTAGTTTGGGGACCCCTGGTCTAGATGAATGGCTTTCAACCCTGGCTGAATATTGCAATCACCTGGTGAGTGACAAAAATCAACATGATGCTGGTTGTTCTGGGATACAGCCTGGGCATCAGCTTTTTTTTTTAAGACGGAGTCTCACTCTGTTTCTGGGCTGGAGTGACACATTCTCGGCTCACTACAACCTCCACCTCCTGGGTTCAAGTGATACTCCTGCCTCAGCCTCCTGAGTAGCTGGGATTACAGGCACACACCACCACACCTGGCTGATTTTTGTATTTTTAGTAGAGATGATGTTTCACCATGTTGATCAGGCTGGTCTTGAACACCTGACCTCGTGATCTGCATGCCTTGGCTCCCAAAGTGCTGGGATTACAGGCATAAGCCACCGCACCCGGCCCCAGCATCAGCATTTTTAAAAGCTCTTCAGATGATTCCAGGCCAGGTGCGGTGGCTCTTGCTTGTAATCCCAGCCCTTTGGGAGGCTGAGGTGGGCAGATCACCTGAGGTCAGGAGTTCGAGATCAGTCTGGCCAACGTGGCAAAACCCTGTCTCTACTATAAATACAAAAATTGGCCAGGTTGGTGGTGTACGCCTGTGCACGAGAATTCCAGGAAGCAGAGGTTGCAGTGAGCAGAGATTGTGCCACTGCACTACACCTTGGGCAACAAAGTGAGACTCAGTCTCAAAAAAAAGTCTCTTCAGATGATTTTTTTTTTTTCTGTTTTAGGAAAAATGGTTTAATGGTAGCTTTGTAACCTCTTTTCTAGATGAGGTTCCCTTCTTGGTGGAACCCCCACACCACTGCTCTTCCCATGCCTGCTGGGAGGTAGCAGCCCCTCTCTGGAGGGCACCCACCCATTCCCGATGTCCCTGCCCTCCTGTCAGGCCAGTGCTGGGTCTAGGCCTTGATGGGGCCATCGCTGTAGGTTTGTATAAAGAGTGGGCAGAGGTGGCTCAAGCCTGTAATCCCAGCACTTTGGGAGGCCGAGGCAGGTGGATCACGAGGTCAAGAGATCGAGACCATCCTGGTCAACATGGTGAAACCCCGTCTCTACTAAAAATACTAAAAATTAGCTGGGCATGGTGGCACGTGCCTGTAATCCCAGCTACTCAGGAGGCTGAGGCAGGAGAATTGCCTGAACCCAGGAGGCGGAGGTTGCGGTGAGCCGAGATCGCGCCATTGCACTCCAGCCTGGGTAACGAGAGCGAAACTCCGTCTCAAAAAAAAAAAAAAAAAAAAAAGAGTGGGCAGAATACTCTACTGGCCTCTTTCCTGGATGCATGGGACCAGCCCACAGCACCTTCCTACCCCTTAATTAAATAGCCCATTAAATAATCTCTTGGTGCTGGCGGAGAGGGGGTTCCACGGCAACAAGCCCCCTGCCCTGGCGGGGCTCCCATGACCCCAGCGCCCCCACCCGTAAGAAGAGTGGAGCCAGCCCTGAGAACCGCTAGTCTATCTAATGCTTCGCAAAGTTTAGAGTGCACAGGAATCCTGTAAAATTCAGAGTCTAACTCGGTAGGTCGGGCACAGAGTCTGAGATTCCGCATTTCTAACAAAGTCCCAGGCGATGTCCGTGGACCACACCCTGAGTGGTACCAAGCCTGTGCTTAATGTCCCCTTCCCTTGAACTTGCAAGTTGGATCCAAGATCCCTCTACTCAATCTGCTGCTGTTCTTGTTTTGGTAGCTGGCTGTAGTGGCATGCTTCTGCCAATCACATCATTGCTTCTCAGTTCTTTCTTTTTCCTCCCTCTCTCACAAGAATTGTTTAAATCCTCACTCATCGTTTGAATTTTAACTAGATGCTGTGGATATGCGTGAAACAGGGATCTTCCCTTCCAGGGCGGAGAGTTAGAGCCAGGCTGAGATGTGAGTTCCAGTGGGGCGGAGGTCATTTCCAGCTGCGAGGACTGGAAGGAGTTTACGTGGCTGATGATGACAGTTTACCACTGTCTAAGTGCTTTGTACCGGTTGTCTCATTGTACCCTCACAACAACCCTGCAGGTAAGCATTGGTAATGTTCCCCAGTGTACACGCGAGGAAGCTAAAGCTTAAAGAGAAGCCCAGGTTCTTTGAGGAGGACACAGCAAGCGAAGTGCAACGCTGCAGCTTGAACTCAGGTGCCCGTGCCGACAGCTAGGTTCCTTAGGGCATGCGTGGTATTCGAGCTGCATGCCTGACCAGACTCGACCAGACCCGGCCTTTTCGCACCAAGTCATTTGGGCTGGGATGGGGTTTGCATGAGTTTAGTCTACCCCTCACTCACCCTCCATACTCCCGCAGCTGGAAAAAGACAGGTGGTATCCAACCTCTGGTTTCTGGGCCCAGACCTCCAGCCTGTGCACAGAGCCTGGGACCTGGACTCACACTCTTCTCCCATTGGCCGCCTGTCCCAGCAGGGGTCTCTGCTGCCTGCATCGTTGTCTGTTCGTATCATTTTCTTTCCTCGGCGGGGAGCAGACTATGTGTCCAGCCTGTGTGCCTAGGCTTGTCCCTTCAAAGGCACAGAACCCCAAATAGTGCTGCATAGAAGGTTGCCTGCAGCTACCAAGATGGCTGCAAATCCTAAACTCCTCAGATTCTGCTGGGTTCTTAGCTAAAGGGGTATCCAACAGCCCAGCCCCGTGGTTCTTCCAAGTTGACACAACCCAGCTTGTCTCGCCTTTTGATATCAGGGTGACAGGGTTGGGGTGGGGGTAAGGGTGAGACGGATTAGAGACCTCTTTGTTCCCCCACTAGAACTTGAGTTCCTAGAGACCTGAACTTTGTCTTTTCATTTTCGACCTCCCAGTGAGGAACACGGTCCTGGCAGATAGATGTGTCACCACGTTGTCAGATGAGTGCATGAAGGAGACTTGGGTGCATTTTGTTTTTGCATGGGGTGAATGGCAGCATGGGTAGTGTGTTCGGCAGGCAGGAGATTCACCTGGTGTAGGCTTCAGCTTGTGGGCCCCGGAACCCAGTGGGCGCAATTACTGGGAAATCTGTCTTTTACCACATCTTTTTGGGTTCTGTAGCTGCTCAGGAAGATGAGGTTTTCTTACAGAGTCCCAGCCCCTTGAGATGCAGGATGAATTGTAGAATGCCAACTTTGAGAGCGTTAAGAGATATCCTGTAGGGCAGGCATGGTGGCTCACACCTGCAATCTCAGAACTTTGGGAGGCTGAGGCGGGCAGATCATGAGGTCAGGAGGTCGAGACCAGTTTGGCCAACATAGTGAAACCACGTCTCTACTAAAAATACAAAAATTATCTGGGTGTAGTGGCAGGTGCCTGTAATCCCAGCTACTCTGGAGGCTGAGGCAAGAGAATCATGTGAACCTGGGGGGTGGGTTGTAGTGAGCAGAGATTGTGCCACTGTACTCCAGCCTGGGTGACAGTGGGAGACTCCATCTTAAAAAAAAAAAAAGAGAGAGAGAGACCCTGTAATGGTTAAGCAGCCCTGGGATTGTAGAATGGGGAACCCATGGAAGGAGGAGACCACCCCCCACCCCCACTTTCTTACCTTTCAGAGAAGGGAATCATCTTATTGTAGCAGAAGTTTCTTCAAATTTTGTTTAGACATCTAGCCTTGAAAGCTGGGGTTAAGAAAGTGAAGGGCTTAGTTCATAGAAGGAATTTTCCTCTGCAGATAGTTTTTCTCCTATCGTTAAAAAAATATGAAGAGAGGAAACCAAGTACATACCAAGGTGCTGAATGTGCTCTAGGATGTAAAGCAACTTTGCAATGGTCAACTGGACCTAGTCTGGGAAATATTCCCATTTATACTTAAGAGAGATTTTTGTTTGTCTGTGTTTTGAGATAGGGTCTCCCTCTGCTGCCCAGGTTGGAGTTCAGTGGCACAATCATGGCTCACTGCAGCCTCAATTTCTCAGGCTCAAGTCATCCTCCCATCTCAGCCTCCCCAGTAACAGGGACTATAGGTGTGCACCACCATAGCTAACTGATTTTTGTATTTTTTAGTAGAGATGGGGTTTCACCAAGTTGCTTAGGCTGGTCTCAAAC